AGAATATTAGCAATAAAAAACATCAGCTCACTTGAGTCTACAGATTTTCCAGATTCTCAATCCATACTCATTCTAAATGCGCCTTATGGACTCTCAACAGGGCCTTCCCTTTATTTACAAGAAACGAATATTGCCCAAAGCATAATACTATAAAAATACACGCTCGCTTAAGAGACCTCAAGGAAGAAAGTGAATCATAACAATTTTTTCACTGCACCGAAGCAAAGCCAAAAGGATACGCCTAAAAATTCCCAGGCACGCCGCAGACACCAGAGCTACTTTTCCACATTTCGCCCGGATAAAGCTCGACAGTGCTGCTACTTTTACAAAGCCCGTTCGCCACACACGCTAGCCGGGTTCCCGCCGCGCCAGGACCGGTGACTGTGGGACCCGGGACTCTTCACCCGCCAGCGGCCCGGTGCAGCCCCACTACCCCGCTCCAGCGCCACAGGGAGGGCAGCCCGTGTCTACCTGCTGGAGAACACCGCAGTTGGCGCAGGCTCCGGCGGCGGCCGCAGTCCCGGCCGGCGGCGGCGTCTCCCCCGGCATCATCGTGCCCACAGCGGCGACTCTGCGCAGCCCGCTGCGTCACACGCCGCGCCATGGCCTCAGCAAGGACCCAGCTCGCCTTCACCTCCTCGAGGGTAATGCCAAACACTGCCTGAGTAGTGGCAGCGGAAAAGACAGTAGAAGGTGCTCTGTGCAGAAACCGACGTTGAAAGCAGCCGATGAAGAGCGACTCGGCCAACTTCAAGACGCACCTACAACACCCTTCGACCAGCAGGTTGTTTTATCTCCTTTTAGGTGCAGGCACTTCTGCTGGGCGCTCCTGCGTTCTCGGCGCAGGCGCGGGACAGGGCAGCTTCCCTCGCCCGGAGCGAGCAGCGGGGCGGGGCCCGTGGGCACCGCGGAGGAGGGGGCAGCCCGGACTGGGACGGGGACGGGCCGAGCGGATCTCTACTGAAGCCAGGATTGCCGAACACTGGCCCTTGTGATCCGCTACAAGCCTGAGGCGAACTGCTCTCGCCACCCTCTCTCTGCTTCCCTTCTGGCGAACTAGAGCTGCCGTCTAGATATGGGCATACTTAGCTGTTGCTATTCTCTGACGCACACACCCCCCGTTCTTAAAACGGGAGCACACCAGTTCAGCTCACTCAGCATCTTGTGGGAACATGATACTGATGGCAAAAGATCAAACTTTTCATTTCACTCAAGCATTTGTAAAGAGGCTTTCAAGGGTAATATTTAGCACACTTATCAAGGCTGCCTGCATCTACCACTTATGCAACATCTTTCTATAGTGAGCGAGCTACGGTAAGAGTTTATAGAATCATAGAATGTTTGGGTTGAAAGGGACCTTAAAGATCATCTAGTTCCAACCCGCCTGCCGTGGGTAGGGACACCTGTTGCTAGAACAGATTGCTGATGTGTTTCAGGCCATGCGTTCGATCACTTAGAAGTTAAAGTAGTAACTGCTGTGTTGTTCCACCCTGTATTACTGTTGAGGTATGATTCCATCACATTATTTCCATAGCGATCATTTGGTATTTTGTACACAGGACAGATAGTTGCACACATTGTGAGTTAGTTCTATTCAGCACATGCTGTTGGATTTTATTCACTGAATGCTCTTTGCGACATTGCTGATGCTTACATTTTTAGTCTACCTAGAACTTTCTCTGACTCAGTTTATCCAATTGCTTGTTCATTGTTTTCTTCCTTGTAGTTTGTACATATTCCTCAGAGGAATCAATATTGATCTCTAGATCTGCGGACCATGTTAAATCTTCCATCATCTGGACATTGAAACTTTTAACTCCTTGATCAGTGCTCTGATGAAACACAGTATTTCAGGCTTTCTCAATCTTTCTACTTTGAGAGCTTTACAACAGAATAATAAAATAGTCATTAGAGCAGCAGTAGAGTTTAAGTGTCAGTGTCACTGGAATGAATTCACTCTCTTGGGTAAAGTTTCCATGTGAAGCACCCTTCAAAGAGAATGGAGCTGAGCACTACTCATTTTAGATTTGAGAATTTGGGGCTGTGATCAGGTCAGGTAACAAGGCACTTTATTAGGTGAGTTATTTAAAGGCAGGGTTCTGCAGAAAGATATCACACTATATCTGAAAGAAATTAATAGCTAAGATGTTTTTAGAAGAGTTCAGTGTTTCTTTGGACTCTTCATGCTTAAGTGAAAATGTTATCAAAATTTTGTTTTAGCATTGACAATGTCGAAATTTTCTAGTTGTTTGACATTACAGAATCATTTAGGTTGGAAAAGACCTCCAAGATCATCAAGTCAAATTTTTGACCAACCTCCACCTTGTCAACTAGACTGTAGCACTAAGTTCCACATCCAGTTGTTTCTTGAACACCTCCGGGAATGGTGACTCCACTACCTTCATGGGCACCCATTTCCAGTGCTTTCCATTAAGAAATTCTTCGTAGTCCAACCTGAATCTCCCCTGGTGCAGCTTGAGGCTGTGTCCTCTTGTCCTGTCACTAGTTGACTGGGAGAAGAGACCAATCCCCACCTTGCTATAACTTCCTTTGTAGTTGTAGAAAATGATAAGGTCCCCCCGAGCCTCCTTTTCTCCAGGCTTAACACCCCCAGCTCCCTCAGCCACTCCTCATAGTGCTCTTAACTCTTCACCAGCTTTGTTGCTCTTCTCTGGACACATTCCAGTACCTCAATGTCCTTGAATTGTGGGGCCCAGAACTGGACACAGAACTCAAGGTGCTGTCTCACCAGTGCTGAGTAGAGGGAGGTGATCACTGCCCTGGTCCTTCTGGCCACACTATTTCTGGTACAAGCCAGGATGCCATTGGCCTTCTTGGCCACCTGGGCACACTGCTGGTGTACGTTCAGATGGCTGTCAACCAGCACTCCCACATCCTTTTCTCCTGGGCAGCTTTCCAGCACTCTTCCCCCACGCTGTAGAGCTGCATGGAGTTGTGATCCAAGTGCAGGACCTGGCACTTTGCCTTATTGAACCTCATAAAACTGGCCTCAGCCCATCAATCCAGCCTGTTACACTCCCACCCAACTTAGTATTGTCCACGAACTTACCGAGAGTACACTCGATTGCCTCATTCAGATCATTAGTGAAGATATTAAACAGGACTGGGCCCAACACTGACCCTTGGGGAACACCACTAGTGAGTGGCCACCAACTGGATGCAGCGCCATTCACCACCACTCTCAGGGCCTGGCCATCCAGCCAGTTCTTCAACCAAGCAAAGAACTGTCCAAGCTGTGGGCTGCCAGCTTTTCCAGGAGAATGCTGTGGGAGACAGTTTCAAAGGTTTTACTGATGTCCAGGTAGACTACATCTGCAGCCATCCCCTCATCCACTAGGAGGGTCACCTGGTCATGAAGGGAGATAAGGTTGGTCAAGCGCGACCTGCTTTTCCTAAACCCGTGTTGGCTGGGCCTGATCCCCTGGTTATCCTGTACATGCTGCGTGATTGCACTCAAGATAATCTGTTCCATAACCTTCCCAGGCACCAAGGTCAGGCTGACAGGCCCGTAGTTCCCTGGATCCTCCTTCTGACCTTGAGGATGGGCATCACATTGGCCTACCTCCAGTCACTTGGGACCTCCCCAGTTAGCCAGGACTGATTATAAATGACAGAGTGGTTTGGCGAGCTCTTCTGCCAGCTCCCTCAGTACTGTCTCATGAATCCCACCTGAACTCATAGACTTTTGAGTGTCTAAGTAGCTCAGCAGGTCACTAATGACTTCCTCCTGGATTATACAGGGATTCTAATCTGCTCCCTGTCCCTGTGTACCAGCTCAGGGGGCCAGTTGCCCTAAGGATAACTGGTCTTACTGTTAAAGACTCAGGCAAATAAGGCATTAAGCCTTTTTCTCATTCTTGCTTACAATGTTCCCCACCATGTGCAATTAAGAAATTTTCCTTAGCCCTCCTTTTGTTGTTGATGTATTTATAAAAACCACTTTTTATTATCTTTCTCAGCAGTGGCCAGATTGAGTTCTAGCTGAGCCTTCACCTTTCTAATTTTCTCTCTACATGACCCAACAACATCCTTGTACTCTTTCTGAGCTTCCTGCCCCTTCTTCCAAGGGTCATAAACTCTTTTTTCCTCTTGAGTTCCTGGGAAAAATCCTTGTTCAGACAGGCCAGTTTTTTTCCCCAATGGCTCATCTTTTGGCACATAGGGATGGGCTTCTGCGCCTTTAAGATTTCCTTCTTAAAATATGTCCAGCTTTCCTGGACCCCTTTGTTATTGATGACTGTTTCCACCTGCTGGAAGTCCAAAGTAGATATTCTGTTGACCCCCTTCCCTAATTTCACCAAGAATTGGAAACTCTTATCATTTTGTCATCGCTATGCTCAAGATGACCTCCAGCCCCCCCCATCTCCCAGCAGCAGGTTTCTTCTCTCTCTGTAAACAGCAGGTCTAATGTGGCATCAGCCCTGACAGGCTCGCTTACCAGCTATATCAGGAAGTTATCTTCTACACAGTCCAGGAACCTCCTAGACTCCCTTCTCTCTGCTCTGTTGAGTTTCCAGCAGACATCTGGCAAGGTGAAGTATCTCACAAGAACAAGGGCTAGGGATCATGAAACATCAGCCAGCCTCATTCAGAATACTTCATCTGCCTCTTCATCCTAGTTAGGTTGTCTGTGAAAGACTTCCACCAGGATGCCTACTACCTTATTAGCCTTCCCCCTGATTCTTACCCATAGGCACTCAACCTTATCATCACTATCGTTGAGCTCTGTACAGTTGAAACACTCCCTAATGCAAACTTCTTCTAAAACAGCTCCTAAGTCTTAATGGTTCAGACTCTGAATACAGGCAGAATTAGGCAAGTAAACTTATGAAAATTTTGTATTGCCATTTTATTTTTTTATGTTACATTCCCATTCCTTGACAACAAGAAAATATTTTAAAGTTCTGTTTTAACTCACTCTACAAAAACTAGTTGTTAAAAAGCTAGTTATTTTCCTTCAGAAAAATAATATATCTTACAATTTTAAATAGGCAATATTAAATAATAATGTAAATTATATGCTTTTTTAAAAATTGCACTTAACTTGATTAGGCCAAGTAGAAGAGTGATTGTAGGGTATGGAATTCCAAGTTCTACTTCATTATATATGAATGAATATATATGTGTTCAGTAATGAGCACATCAGAGTTCAGAAGATGCATGGGGATGGGAAGGCACTAAGAACGGCAGACTGGATCTAAAAGAGAAAGGTTATAAATTTGGAATTTAAAAAGCCCTGTGAGTTCAACAGTAGACTTATACAGGGCTAAGATGTCTGTGCCATGAAGTCTGAGTCACAGAGACTTTGATCTCTTTTGTTGATGATAAAACAGAAAACTGGCGACTTGGTTAGCTGTGAATCTCCTCATTGCTGAATGGGGCCATTTTAAAAGAATTAAATTATGACTGCAGGGTTATTGTGTTTATTTAGCAGAACTGAAATAGTCGGCAGCACATAAACATGATTTCTTTACTGTTGCTTATAGAGATAACATAGACTGTCCTTCCTGTTTTTCATGAATGAAGAACAGAAAGAATCAGGTGCTAATGTTCCCAAAAAAACACTCAGGTGGTCCTTAATAGCACAAAAGTGTCATCCTTTCACCACCAGTAACTGAAGGCAATATTGATGATAGGTGCAATTAGAGAGACTGCAGAGGAGATGCCTAACCATCTTCACAGCATGTCAAGGTGACAGCATCATGGTCTCTGGCACTCTCAGTTTTATACTAGAAAAGTTTATTAACTGTAGTAAGTGTAAAAGAAATCTTTAGACTGGATATTAGTTCACCGAAAAAGAGTTATCAAGCATTGGAACAGGCTGCCCAATGAAGTGCTTGAGTCACCATCCCTGGAAGTATTTAAAAGTCATGTAGCCACTTAGGAATATGGTTTAGTGGTGGACTTGGAAGTGGTAGGTTAGCAGTTGAATATGATGATCCTAGAGGTCTTTTTCAACCTAAATTATTCTACAATTTAATACTTTAATATTACTCCATGGGAATGTGCTGCTTCTACCTATCATACGGAGAGCTACTTCCTATGCAAAAACTTCTGTGCAGTCTTTCAGTGGATTCTCTTGTTTCAGATGCTCTTGCTGATTTCAGATTCTTGCGGTGTTCTCCTGCTGACAATCTAACATGAAAGGTTAGAAATACTTCACACCTGTAGAATGGAAACACAGACAAATAGGATCCCACTCTTTTCAGTAGAAAGAAAACACATCAGGATGGAAGTATAAGCTTCACTTTTTCTTGCTTCCTGTCCCCAGCACCCTGGCATGCGATAATGGGAGGGAAGCAACTCATTTAACACAGACTTGAAACAGCTATTTTATTTAGACATTAGCAGGCAAGCATATTGTAATTTTGTTACTATAAATAACATTACAGCATTATAGAAAAAAATGGCTTGCAAGGGACAACATCTGTAGTCCAACTACATCTGTAGTCCAACCTGCTTGAAATGGATTTAACTACAAGCTAGATCGGGTTGCACAAGGTCCTGTCCATGTGATTTTTTAGAACCTCCAAGGGTGTAGATCTTACCATCTCTCTGGCCACCCTGCTTAACTGTTACAAGAGTGAAGAATCATTTTATCCTCTCCAGTCAGAATTTCTGTTGTTTCAGTTTGAGTCTGTTGCTTCTTATTTAATTGTGCATCTCAGAGAAGAGCTTGGCTCATTTTTCTCTATAAACCCCCTTAGATAGTTGAAGATAGGAATGAGATTTAGTCTTCTCTTCCTTTGGCTGGATAAACCCAGTTAGATTAGCCTCTCTCTGTATATATTATGGGTTCCCTTAGTGGCCCGTTCCTCCAGCTTATGAATGTCAATGTGAATGACAGGCCTTTCATGTGCTCCTTGCAATTTTGTGTCATATGCCAACTTGCTTAGGATCCTTCTGTCCCCTTTTCCAGGTCATTGATGATGATGTTAAACAGTGTCAGCCTCAGTGTTGACCCTTAAATTCTGTTTAACTAGGCTTCCAGTTAGATGATTACTTGCAGTTAGTCACAGAGGAGTTGTTTACCTTTGGCTGTCTGGTATAACTGAACCTCTTCCTATTTTACTTCTCTCTCTTCCTCTCTCTCTCTCACTCTCTATACAGATATGTACATACACACACATACATTCTGCAGAATTATGAGTTTCTGTTACATAAATTGACAGTAAAGGGATATGACACAGGTATGCTCTTTTTTGCTCTTCTCTATTTTCACCTTTTTCAGGTTTTTCCTCTAGTGTAAGACATATCCAGACACACCAGTTGAACTTGTCTGCTGGGTTATCACTGCTGCATAGTATTCAGAGTCCTGAGAATAAATATATAGGAGTTTTTTCAGGTGACTGTACTGCGGGATGCAAAAAGCTTCTGTTTCCTGTAATCTAATGGACATTGTGTAGGAATCTGGGAGAGTCCTAGTTCAGGGTGAAGATGATATATCATATTCTTATCTCCCTTCTCAAGCTTTCTCCTTCTTTACTGTATTTTCTGAGTGCATATCTCTTCAATACTGTAATACCTCTTTTTTAGATCTGATTTGTCAGATATTGGAAAGCACCTCTGTTACCACAGGCTACTCATCAATTCAGAGACACGTTTTCTTCTGATTATGAAAGTAACTCAGAGAGGGGCTGATATGTTTTGAAGCTGGCTCCCTGCCAAGTCTCCAAACCTTACCACAAGAAGTCCCCATCCCCCCCCCCCCAAACCTCAGGGAGAAGAGGGAGAAAACACAACTAAGAAAACCCGAAACGAGAGAGAGACAGCTAAAGTTATATATATAAATATATTTACACTTATGTTACAATTATATACAATTGAAATATATACAATTTCACAAGGGAAAGGGAAGGGGGAAGGGAAAAGGAACAGAACCAAAATAAAATATATATATATATATCCCAATTAGTAGCCCAATATCTATCCACTAAAAGAGTTAGCAAAGAAATATCTCACTACTCTCCTTGGGACAATTGAGAGTCGCTCTGGAACGATCGCCGGCAACCTCCGCCTCCCAAGGTCGACAAGGCCTTACCAGGCCTCGCTCCCCAACACGGCAGACTCAACAGCAGGGAACCTGCACCTCCAAGCCGCCGGAAGGAAAGAGAGCGAAGGCCTCTCCTCCTTTCTTCTTATAGTCTGGCTTACGTAAAAATCGTAGGGAATACTGGGTAAATCTGGACCCTTCCTTGGTTACAAACTGGTCACCAAGGAAGGCCTAGCCCAAACTGCCACAGGGGCTTTGCTTCTTCATTCTGTTACTATGACATCAAAGACTTTTTCTGTATAATTTCTGAAGTATCATTCTTAGTGCCTCTTCTCAGTATTGGGATAACATCCAGGTGTTAAATTATCTGGCACTGGTGGTCCTATATAGTTTTACTTCATGCAGTGAATTCTTTTACTTCATTTCCTCAAAGAATGATAAGTGGTAGAGAAAGGAGGGTTGCAATGATCTATTTAAAATCCCTCACAATTAAACATTAAGATCTTTCCTTTTTAAAGAAAGCTTAATCTTATCATAGTAAATTGTGTGACACAACATTGGTAAGAATCCTCTTGTATTCTTTTTCTTGAAATTACATAAAGTAGGAAAAGTTGACTAGAAATCACAGAGATGTGACTACTCAATGCTAGATCCACTACATGCCAGCTCCACTACATGTGACAGATGCAAGATCCACTACATGTGACAGATGCAATGGAGCAAGTGCCTTATGGTTAGAAGTGTAGTTAACTGAAAAATATATGTGTGGTAAGCCAAATATGTTAGGTTTTGTGTGGACATTGGAGATGCTTTGTGTTCATATTGGGCATCTCAGCAGCACTCATCAAGATTTTCCAGGCAGAACAATGGATGCTCGGAAACTCTGTAGCAAGATAGAGTTTATAGCTAAATTCTTCCCCCAAAATATGTTGCCTGCAGTAAGCGCATCAGAAGTTAGTTACCAGGAGTCCTTTAGCGTAAAAGCCTGTGGTCCTACTTGCCTCCCTAAGCATGCTATACTAAAATAATACCTACTCTATACCTGCAGACTGGTGATCTGTGCTTAGTTCCTGGTAACACAACGTGCTGTCTTTAGGTGATGCACATTGCTACCTCATTTGCTGTTTTCCAAACTGTTGAGGTCTAGGTAGCTCATCTTGCAAGCTGCAGATTGAAATGCAGATTGGCCCCGAGACAAGAGGCTGTGAACTGCTGACCTTTCGAATAATGGCTGTGCCAGGAATAAATTACTTCAATGAACTAGACATCTGAGACTCTGCTATGGGAAACCTGGGGTCAAACCGATAAGGAAACCTTGTCTGACTGTGTGAGTGGGGTGTGCAGGGAGTAAAGCCGGGCACCTGTTGGTTCACTGCAGCTGCCTGCTGTGAAGGGGCTTCTGTCCCAGCAGTTTAAGTGTCTGGTGTTGAGAGTGTGACTGCTAGAGTCTCGCAAATGCTCACTGTGAAGTTTCCTTAAACACAAACCAGACAGCTTTCAGCACCTCCTTAGGCCTATGGGTTACCTGCTGCTTTCTTCCTCCTAGGACAGCAGAGCTGCTGCTTGCTGAAGGGTTCAAACCAAGGTGCAAGTTCTTTGGAGCCCTGTGGGACTGGTCCACTATCTCAGCAATGCGTAGAAGGGAACAGTTGCTGTAGGCCACCTCTCTTTGTCTAGGTAAAAGGGCTGTGTGGGGACTTCAGAACTTGTCTTCCATAAGTAGGAAGAACACTGTTAGGACCTGGGACACTGTCATAGTTTGAGCTGCCCCCCTGGTGGCCAGGGGGCTGGAAATGGTTGGTCCCAGCTGAGTTTCCGGTTAGGGGGCCAATCGCAGCTGTTTTTTTCGCTCTTGTGAAATTAGATATCATAACAGCCGGAAGTTGTTGGCAGAGTGTGAGAGCGTCTGAGAGAGAGAGAGAGAGAGAAGTCGAGGGGTGGCCAAGGGTCCCCAAAACCCAGGGGGCCCCTGGGCCCCCATGGCCCTGGCTTGGCCAGGGCTGGATGCAGTGTGTGGCAGTGAGTGTTTGTGTTGTGAGGGAGAGACTCGCAACCATGAGGTGAGAGGAGGGAGGCCTCCGGCCCCCTATGCCGGGGGGCCAGGCCCTCTTCCCTTGCCGGCTAGGCTGAGGGGAGCTTGGTACAGTTTATAACTGGACCGAGTACCCGTGGCCAAGGCTAGGGGGCTCTTTTTTTCTTCTCCCAATGCCCGGGGAGGCGGTGGTGTGGACATAAGGCTCAGTACTGGAGCCAAGCCAGGAGACGGGCCAAAGGGTTCGGAGGTGCCCTATGTGGGTTTGGACGAGGGCAGCCAAAAACTGAAAGCTGCAGCAGCTAAGGAAGAGAGGAAGCCAAACTGGCAGGCTTTTTCTGGGTAAGGAATTTTGGTGAAAGCTATTTGGGGTAAAAAGACTGAGCAAGACCCAGAAGCCTGCAACCTGGAGAGTGAGAATGGAACATCTTACTCTCTGGGAAGAAACCTTCACAAACCAGGGGAAAAGGACTCAAAAGCTGACTCCCTGGACCTTTTGTGATGAAAACCTGATGACGCAAGTGTTTCCCTTGCAACTCAGGAGGAGACCTCAGCAGGAGCTGAGGGCTGGTGGGGGTGCAAGAGACCCTTTTCCCAGATACCCCAATGAGAGAGAGACTTATCACTATCGCCGTGAAGGCTTCTCCTTAAGTGATGTGGGAGGGTCCAAGGGGTGGTAGGGATTGTGTTAATATTGTGTATATAATTGCTTTTTCTATAGTATTTATCGTGTACAGTAATAAATTGTATATAATCCCCTTCCCCCATACTGAGTTGTGCCTGTCTGGACATTTCTCTTCGGTGTTGAGGTAAATTGGGGGGGGGGGGGGGGCTTGGAAATTGGAAAATGGATTTTTTAGAGGGCTCAAACCACAGCAGACACCAGGAAAAAAGGCAAGATCAGCTTGTGCTATGCACCTCAGAAGTCAGAAGTGGGTACAGAATTTCAACATCTGAAAAGTTATCTCTGAGGCTCCCTGCTGGGCCACTGTCTTTTGACTGACACTGACCATTCTGTTAATCAGTACTATGTTATTAGTACCCCACTACTATGGTTTTTAGCTTCAAACTTGTTTGGATCAGCAGGGCACCCATACTTGGTAGTTTAAGTGCAATGTAACTCTTTCAGTGCTGCCTCACCAGGACTCTAAATGATCTTTTATTTTATATCACCTTTCAAAGGTCAATGCTCAGTCTATTTCCTCTGTCTGTGCTGTTCCAGATTTTGCAGACCTCTATCATATCCATAAACATACACACTCTTTTCCAAAAGGTTTATCTGATGTCGGGGTTTAGAAATGTAACAAGAACTGTTAGTGTTTACAATATTAGGAATAAATAGGTGTTCTTGCAAAACTTGTGGTGTGGTTGCATTTGATGCTGAGTAGTGACAATTTACTGGTTGTTCAGTTGTTTAGTTATAGAAAAGTGCAATTTGCCCAGAAACAAAGGAACCATACAATGGGGGACACACTGTAGGCGTGTTGGGAAGGCTGTAACCCCAGAGTATCTCAGCCAATGGGGAAATGGGGAGGGACCTGCATTTCAGGCAAGGAGATAAAAGAGGCTGTGACCTCTATCAAGTTGAGAGACTTCACTGGGGATTGTCTAGTGAACTCTCCCTTTTATTCGAATAAAAGTTTTAGTTAGCTCCTCTGTCTTTTGGACATTTTTGAGGCTCATAATAACAGAAACATATATATATATATATATGTCGCTGTTGAGACGGCCAAAGCAACACAGAAACAGTCTTTTTCCAAAAATAGGACAGGAGAGGGATAGGATCTTTATTGCAACAGATCTCTGACATTTGTACTCCCCAGTGTAACATACATGTTGCATTATTATTGGTGTTTCTTCATAAACATACCTCAGGATTGGCTGCCCTATAGCAAACTCACAATGACTCAGCATTTGCAGACTCACAGTGACTTGCTCTAGCAAGCTCATGGTTACTTTGCAGAAAGTTCAGGATATCAGCTTTTACAGTCCTGTCTTCCTTCCAACAGACCTGCTGTCAACCCTGACATATATATTTTTCAGAACAACAACATAGAAACTACAGATAGCTGAGCCAAGTGATTTAAAGAAACAATGAAGGGGGGAACTGAGGCAGTTAGCCAGGCAACATCCAGTTACTTTTTAACCAGGTGCACTGACTTGAAGAAGTTCACAAGGTGGTCACTTAGAACTTTGGGGGGCTTCAAAGACCACCGAAGACCACTGATGAAGACCCTCAAAGACCTTATAAGGATATGCATGTAATGTTAATAAGTGTTGGGAAATTCCGTGAATACGTAACAGGAATGCAGGGAATGAAAAATGAATAATCATGTAATGCTGACATATAAGCTGTAGTGAAGATACCTCAGGGTGAATTTTGGCAAAATGATAACCAGTGCACCCAGTGCTGATTAAAGAATGCCTTATTTCTAAAACTTAGAGGTTTCTTTTAAGTGCTTCTTTTAGGCAACATATCTAAGTCAATCTTGCTTATGATCCCTTTTTCTTTGCCTTTTTTCTGAACCTTTCCCTTTTCCTTTGTCCTCTGAGATAGAGGACCTCGATTTGTGTATAGTATTGATCAATTCTTACACTGTCTTGGTGTTATCTCTGTTTATTCTTTACTCCTTTCTTAGCAATGCTTAATAATTTGATTTGCTTTTTTTTCACACTATTGAGCATAAAAAAGACATTCTCATACAACTACCTGTTATAACTGTTGTAACAGCTTAGGGCTCTTTATTTCAAATGTGAAGATAGGATGGTTTATTCCCATATGCCCTGCTTCCATCTTTTTGCCCATATACCCAGTACCAAAGACTCTTCTGCTTGCAGTTCTTCTCAGCCTGCCATTGCCTATATTTCCCTAAATAACATTGTACTGTCAGCAGACTCTGACACTGCCATTTTCAGATTTTGAGAAATATGTTGCACAGATTAGGTTCTAAAACATTTCCTTGTGGGACTCTATTGATGACCTCCTTTTACTGTGAAAATGGGCTATTGATTCCTACTGTAGATTCCTGCTATAGATTCCTATCTTTCAATCAGTTATTTAGTCCTGCAATTATTTATTTCTTGGCAGTCTAACTTTTGAGAGCTGATGACTGGCCTCTCCAAATACCTTCCAGAAATCCCTGGTCAGGATTCCAGGATCTATCTCCCTTAGCCACAAGGGATTCATAAACGTTTCAGTGGAATTGTGAGGCAGTTCTTTACAAAAGCCATTATGTCTCATCTCTATTACAACATCTTTATGCATATCCTTACTAATTCTGATCTATCTTACAGTTTCCATTAAATTGCCCGCTATGGACATCAGGCCTGTACTTTTCTAGATTTCTTATAGCATTCTTTTAAAATCAGCTTTTTAAAGTCAGCTATAGATGACACATCCCTGTCTTCTCCTACCAAAGCAGTTTTATATTAGAGATTTTTCAGGTGTGGCAGTTTGAGCCACATTAGAAATCCAAAATCCAATTTCCAGGCTTTCCCCCACCCCTTCCCACAATTTATCCCAACACCGGAGAGAAACTTTCAGGCCAGAGGCTTCTATAGGGGGAAGGGGAAGTATATACATTTATTTACACAAATAAATATTATACAAACTAAAGCCAACTATATATATATGTATATATATAATTACACTTCTATCAGTCCTTTAAGCCCCTCCCTTTAACTTTAGTCCAGGAAGAGCCTTTCAAGGCTGGGAAATAACCAGTCTCTCCCTCGTGGGAGTGTTTGGGGCCCAAAACACTCCCTACCAACCTCAAGCTGTTTGCTGCAGTTTTTCTCCTCGCGAAGTCCAAGAAAGCAGCTTTGAGTTCTTTCTCCTCGGTCTGCTGTGTCATTCTCTTTCTCAGTCTCGTACCTTGGTTCATAGGCTGCTGTAGTGTAGCTTATCAACGTACGTGTCCTGGAATGTTGATTCCTCCTCTGAGTTTTTGGCTGTCTTGCATTTAAATCACGGCAGAGACATCCTCTGGGCCTCTCTCTTTGGTCCGTCTCCAATTTTGCCTGGGATTCCTTTCCCTGGCTCTGAGCTATATTTAGCCCATCCACTTTGGCTCTACTCTAAATGCTGAGCCTCTCCTCCACTTTACAGTGGAGAGAAAGAAAAGCCCCCCCCTCCACAGCTTAATTGCAGAAAGGAGGGGGAAGAGGGCTTGGCTGCAAAGCCTGCCTCTCTCCTCTTACCTCAGGTGCTGTGAGTCGTGTCCCTCACAAACACTCACTCCAAATGCTGTCCCTAACTCTGGCCTAGGCAGAGTTGGGGGCCACAAGGCTCCCCTCTCCCCCCCAGAGGGGGGAAAGAAGGAGCCCAGCCACCCCCTGGCCTTCTCCACCTACACGCAGCAGACACCAACAGCAAAACTGCCAGCAGCTTCTGGTGCTGTGTATATATGATTTTTAGCAGAAGCGAACAAGACAAGTGGTGACTGGCTCTCCAAGGAACACTGCCCTGGCACACAACCACCTCTGAGCCCCTGACTCTCAGGGAGGCCAATCTCAAACTATGACACAGGACATTTGTAGTTCACCCCTGAATTCTTTTAAAATTCCTGGGTATATACCATCTGGTCCTTGTGATTTATTACTATTAATTTTGCCTGTATGTTCCATAACCTATATATTACATACTGAATCTTTCAAGACATAACCCTTGGTGGTGAGCGCCCTTCTAAAAAAAAAGAGCTGGCTCAGGAATCCATATCTGCTGCAGTGAGCACAGATGTAAAGAATGAGTTTAGATTTTTGGTTATTTTCTCTGTATGGTCCTTTAAATTTCTTTTAATTTTCCTGGTGCTGCAGTCTGTCTGGAGATGTCCAGAGCCTGAAGTGTTTGAAAGGGGTTTATTATTAGATTTTATGCCTTATGTAAGTTGTTCTTCAAACTCTTTTAGCCTGTCTCATGGTGTGGTTTACTTTTCATCTGTCAGAAGTTTGGTTTCTATTTTCAATTTATGCCCAAATTTAGCTTTTGGAAGGATGCTTCTGAAAAGCTGTCCCCAGCAACAGACTTTTTTTTTTAAACGAAAGCACATGCTGGTGGACCTTTTTTTTTTTTTTACTTGTCTATAAGGGCTTTATGTAAGGTAGAAAAGGATGAAAGAGAGAGAACATCGCTGTGTGCTGCAATTGACTGTGCCCACAGCACTCTTCCCTTGCCTTCTGGAGGTGTACACAGTACTGTATTAGATTATTGCTTCTGGATGCAGGGATTGCAACCCTAATGGCATCTGGAATTACCTAGGAACAGCTTCTTTAAAAACCAGGAATTCCAGGAAATCCTTTGCACAAAAGGGTATTGTATATATGCAGAAGACTCGTGCTGAACATCTAGACTTGTAATTTATTGGCTGTAGACCATTTCATCTTCCTCACCAGAATGTCAGCATCATGACAACCTTGCTGTCTTCATGTCAAAGCATGTCCTCAGTAGTCACTGACCCCAGTCGCTGACTGGTTCTTAAAAATGACTATACAGTGATGCCAGCTCAGGAGTGAATATGTTTCTATTAGAGATTTATCTTCTTTGGCATGCATGCTGACACAGACAACAATGGCTAGGGTTTCCCTTCCTTCTGCTTCTCTACCTCATCTCCCCCTCTCCCTTGAAGGCAAGGCTGTTTATAGGCATCCCTGCTGCTGAAGACAGCTATGTAAGAGACCTGAGTACATCTCTCCCATGTCCCTTCCCCCCACCCTGGGAGTTTGTCTGGATGAGCTCAGCATCAACTTTTGTAAGTAGCTCTCAGGTTTCAACAGGTTTCACCTATTGAAAAACCTCAATAGGTGCCTGCCCCTTGCTCTTTCTCCTGCTGCTTTAAAATACCTGCTCTTGTCCTTTCCTCCTTAACTATGTTGCAGATATGCTTGTGTCTACCCTCTCTAATCCTTGCCCGCTGGCTTGACTTTTGGCTTGAGCTGCCTTGTCATTACAGGCTCGCATAGCAACCTGACCTGTTGCCTGGGCTGTTGGTGAACTTGCTTTGCTCTTCTTGCTCAGGTATTGTGGAATTTACTGACTCTCAGCTCCCAGCTCTACTTTACATATGGAGCATTCTGTCCCTGCTACTTCCTGACAGGCATACTGGTCAGATGGAAAAAGCAGCTACTGAAAAAAGAAATGAGTGATAAATGGCAAAAAGATGGGGAAATAAATATTCAAGCGTGACAAAGTAGAAAAAACCCCATGTTTTAAGAGAAGGTGTATGATTCAGTGGGGAGATCCTTGTCCGACCCTTGAGCTGAAAAGAAGAAATTATGAGAAAAAGATAAAAAGACTATTTTGGCCAAACTAAAGAAGAAAATAAAATCACATGCACGTACAGAAATGTTAGGCAATTAAGTTAGGCTATCAGGAGTGGATGGAATTGTCCCAATGCAATTTAAGACAGGAAAGGAAAAAAAAAAGCAGAACTGTTTAGATAAAAAGGGAAAACAGAGAACAAAGGAAGACCTGTATGGACCTAATAATTGGCAAATGTGCAACAGAACATACAGGTGAAAATCCCTGTAGCACTTTCCAGAGAGAAACTGGTTTCTTGGTGGTAACAAAAAAAGAGTGTGGATGCTGAAGTGGTAGTACTGTGGTATTCATGAAAAGCAGTGTTAAACATTTTTAGTAGTTCTATGTGAATATTATGGACACATCTTTACAGTAGTTACAAAGAAGTCTATGGGAACCAGAGGACTATTGCAAGTTTCTTGACAGCAGCTGGAAAACCATATGTCTCTGAAGGGATGCCACTGCTGCGTACCTTTCTTTGCAACCTTAGATGATCACCATGTTTACATATAGTAAAGCAGTTCAAACACACTCAAAATGCATGGCAAAACATGTAGCATCGTCATAAGGGTGTTGCTATACTGGTTTGCAAACTTCCTCTGCAATGTCAGGAGTCTGGGATGCATTTCAATGGCTAGTGTTTCTGCAATAAACCCACTGTTTCTTTAAGGGCTTTAAAGTCATGAACTTTGCCGACTAGGAGCAATAGAGCTATGCAGCAAATGGAACTTCGAAGGGAGACTTTCACCAGGAGAGTGTGGAGGTCAAAATGCAGACAGACTGCATGCAGCAGTGCTCCTGAGGTGCCATTCTTCAGAGCTGCTGATGCTATAAAACTGTGAACTTTCTCTGCAGTGTCTGTAAAGATCAGCAGCTCTGTAAGGACTCCGAAATGTTCAGTAGATGTACTGTAACCATGGCACTGCAAACCTCTGCAGGGAGGTTTGAATCATACAATGGTTAAACACTGGTGCTGAAACCTGCAGTATGATGAATCATGCAATTCTTATGGAGTATTTGTAGCTGGAGCATAAGATTTGTCTGCAGCACCAGCTGGAGTATGGGAATTCTTGTGTGTGTCTCTGTCACCTCCTTTAAGCAGTTGCATGGAAGATGCAATAGACAGCCTGATGACACATCCCTGCTTTCTATCTTGTGGCTACAGAAAGCACCTCTTTGCACTGAGACAGAGGCACCAGCTGTCCTGAACCCACCCTCCTGCTCTTGGGCCGCTTAGCCGGGGTCTAAATGCAGCAAGCAAGCCGATTGCCAAACAAATGATCAATTTATTGCCAGCGCTAGGATTTCTTTGTCGCTGTTAGTTTTCCTTTCTTCCTCCTTTGCAGTATCACAGAAGGCTTCCGATGTCCAGCTCTTTCCGTCGGCCAGACACGCAGCACCCCCGACTCCACGACACCGGCTGGTCTCACGGCCCCGCGGTGGGCGCTGCCGTCCGCGCTCCGCTCCGCCCCACCCCGTCCCTCCCGCCTCGTGGGCGCCTCTGCTCTCCCGCTCGCGCTCGGGGCTCCGTGCGGCTGCGCGCGCAGAGGCGGGCCTTGGTGGTGGCGCGGGCACGAGCCGTGCGCGTGCGCGGCGGCGAGGACGCTGGACCGCGGAGCGAGGTTGGCGCTGGCATGGCGGAGGCGCGGCCCGGCGCAGGTGAATGCGACTGCCGGGCTGGGGCGGGGGGTCTCAGCCCTGCAGGTGGGGTGGGCCCAGTGAAGGGGAGGAGCGGCCATCACTCCGCAGCGATACTGCCGGGCAGAAGCCTGCGCCATGGCGGTCGTGGCCGAGTGCTGGCTCGTCGAGGGGTGCGGGTTGCGGGTTGCGGGTTGCGGCACCACCTGTTGCCGCTACCCCGCCTCCGCCCGCCACAAATTGGCGGCGCCTGTGACGCTCAAAATGGCTGGGTTTGCCTGTGCCGCAGGACGCGCTAGGGAGAATTTTGCCTAAGGAGGAACGTACGAGCTTCTAGTATGTGACAAAGGAATGGTAATGTCAGAGAAAATCTAAAGAGGCGGTTGGTTTCGGGAGAATCTACTGCTCTCTGTCGACACCCGTGCCCGTGAAAGCCGGGTTTCAGGCTGCCTGCACAGGGCAATGACAGTGACAATGTCTTAACCCTACAAGCTGCTGTAAAACCGCGGCTTTTCGAGGAATCTGTGAGTAGAGGTCTTGGACGTGCAGGAGGTTATTGCTTAGAGCAGGTGCTACCTGTCTAGAGTGATCTCGGCAAGGGCTCACGAGTGGAGAGCGTCATAAGGACCCGAGCCGACCTGGACGGGGATTTAGCGCCACAAGTGCAAGAAAACGCTTTTTCTTTTATTTGTTTTGCCCTGCGTACTTGTATCATGCAGGTTCAGATTAATTTTAATTTTACGGGTTGTGGCTGCTGAGGAAAAGGAGGGAAACCTTTCAAGATCTATATTCCAGCCTTGCATTTAATGATTTATTATGCATTATGGGCACATAATCCTTATGTAATTGTGTCTTGAGCATGTATCCAGAAATAACACTGTTGCCTAGAGTAATTAACAATATTTAGTTTTTTCATCACATTCTTAATTTCTTCTAGTCTAGGTAGATTTCTCAGGTAATCAATGTCACATTGAGGTCCACTGATGAGCTAACTCATTTCATTGTTTATAGAGTTGTTGGATTTCTGTCAGGAAGAATCCTGGATTTTTGTGTCCTGGGTGAAGAAGAAAATATCAATCTCTACTTTTGCAGCACCCTGATGTTAATTCAGATTAAGATTATCATTAGTTTATGTCCTAAACAGCATCCCCTGTTCTTGGCAGCCTGGCTATCATGACGGAAAAGTTACTTGAGGTCATTT